AATAGACCTCTCCAGTCTACCAGAGCTCAAGTTCAAAATGAGATAATAAAAATACTGAAGGACTTTAGAAAGGCTATCAATAGAGGTGCAGATGACTGTAAAAAGAAACCAGAAACTAGAAAGAGGAGCAAATTAAAATCAGAAAACTCAATTGCTGAGATGAAAGCCAAGCTAAAGGCAGTAAGTAGCAGACCAGATAACGCAGAAGAACGAGTAAGTGATCTAGAAGATAGAACGATGGAAATCACCCAGTCAGAACAGCAGATAGAAAAACAAATGAAAGAAAAAAAAATGAAAGCAATGTAAGAGACCTATAGCACAATATGAAGTGTGCCAATCTACACATAACAGGGGTCAAAGAAAGGGAAGAAGGAGAAAAGGGGATGGAAAACATATTTGAAGAAATTATGGCTGAAAAGGTCCTAAACCTAAAGAAAGAAATAGATATCCAGGTGCAAGAAGCTCAGAGGGTTCCAAACCAGATGAACCCAAATAGACCTATACCAAGACATATTATAATTAAAGTGGCAAAAGTTAAACATAATGAGAAGATTTTAAACGTTTTGCTAGGGCTGATGTCCAAAATGGTAATTGCACATGTAGGTGAACTTGGGTTAATTGAAAATGGATTCTATTTCACCATCCACAGAATAGTTTTAATTTTTTTCATTGGAGATCTCTTTCTTAACACAAGAGAAGGAGGTGCAGTGGAATATATTTCTAAGAGGAGATAATGATGGCAGAATTTTCTGGGTTGATTACATGAACTTGGGGAACAGCAGAATCTCCAAGCATCCCAAAGTGAAAGTTTTCATAATTTGAAAGAGATAAAATTATGCATAGCAAGTTCTGTGGGGATTTGTATGACATTTTCTAATCTTAAAATATTTTTAGGGGCTTCTTTTTACTTCCATGCGACTTTTCATAAATTTCATTTTTAGCTTTTATTGCTTTAAGCAGAAGCTTTTACATATTGGACTTGGAATGGAACTTCTGACTCCACAGGGAATTATTTTTCACACTTAACAATGCTTGGTATTGTAGATGAAATGTCATACCTTAAAAAATCCATTCTAAGTTAGTCTGCCTCTGTGACTGGCCTTTGAAATTAACATGAATATGACAACGAGCCCAAGCACAGAGGGACTTAAGCTTATGGAAACATTTTTGCTGTTTGCTTGGTCATTTTGGCGAGTTTCTAAAATACACTGAGGATCTTTTCTATCTCTGGGTACTCAATGAATATAAACTTGGAATGTCCCTATCAGTGTTCTCTCTGATGCTTATTCATGTCGACAAAACTGAAGCAAATCGATGTAAATGTTTCTCCTTTGGGTCACTTCTTAAGAGTAGATCTTCCTCTGTTTCTTTATTAGGAAAATATTGAAGGTTTTGCTATGTTGGTATCTGCTTATAAACTGCCATCTTTCAGAAGAAGAAGAATGCCTACGGACAGTCTGGTACTTGATTACTTCTTCTCACACGGGCACAGATAAGAAATAATACCAATTAGTTAAATGCATATATGGCTCTATGCCTAAATCCTAGCCAAAGAAGATTTAGGAATTTTCCCAAGCCAAAATTTACAGGGAGAAAGGGTCACTTATTCTTACCATGAATCCTGATTTCAGACCTAGCTGTACAAGTTTCTTAGCGGGTAGGAATTTGGTACTCTCACTACATTTCTCCAAGCATAACTGCCTTATGTAATTTTACAGCAGGCCAAAAGGATTGCTTCTTTTACGAAGCAAGGATGAGAAATACTACTATTTGAGGGTTCAACAGAATGACCACAGGCATTTTTAAGATAAAACTAAACCAAAACAAAGCAAAAACTTCTCCAGTTGACTCTCTTCTAGATGAAATTCTCACCGTTCTTATTCTAATGCAAAATAGTCTGTAAACTTGTAAAGAAGGTAGTTTCCCTTTTACTCTTCAACAGCATTCTTCCATTGCTGTCCAACTATTCCTTTTACTCATTTCCTAGGGGATCTGTACCCTCGTCAAACTCTGCCCGAATTCCAGCCACAACTTTTTGAGCTACGAGTTCTAAAAGTTATTTCTACTTCTTTGTCTTCTTCAGTTTTATCATCTTTCTGTCTTTCTCTGTTCCTGCATTAAATCAGATGATTTCATGTTGATTCTTTCATGAAACAGTTTGATAAAGTTATTTCATATTATAAGGTATGATATAGTAGGCAAATCCCTCCAAGAGAAACTAGTACTAAAAGAAGAGGGAGGAGGGTAGCCTAGACTGAAGTCAGTGTCTTGTGTCAGTGAGACATTTCTTAAGCCTGTGTGTGTGTCCCCAAGGTAGTGGAGGCCACTTGTACCTAATATGGGCTAAAACTCTGAAAAAAGGATCATTAATAATACCTATTATTTCTCAATAGATTATATGTGCTTGGGTCCATGTCCATCTTTTCTTAAAAAACCAACATAAACCAATGCAAGTTACCTAAAGCAATGAGGCACCTTTATTCCAGAGCCATACATTCAAAATATAATTGTTATAAGGAGTACAAAAGCTCAAATTGCCAGCAAACTGCAAGGGTAATTGTATTGAAGAAAAGTGAATCTTTATTTAACTTTCCTAAATTATGTACTCACAGCACTGCAAAGTGTCATAACCTCCTTGTTTCAGATTAAGTGGATTATTTATTTGTGATAATGGGCACATATGCTCATTAGCATGCTGTCATAAACAGCTGCGTTAAATATATTATGTGTTCTGTGACATAAATAAGGTGTTCAATATGAGGTTGTTGTTTAAAATATAGGCCTCAGGAAGAACAAAAAAGCAATAAATGCTTTTTAATGTAGTTGCCTGGTCTTGAATTCTAAATTTATTTCTACCTTATTCGTGCTGCTTGTATGGAAATTGCAGATATTACTCTAGTGAAATATCTTGACATTTAAGGACATTAGAACTTCCTTCTGTTTTCACATTCTTGGTGTATCTCAAGCTAGCTGTTCACTGCCTTATGTTTCTTTTCTTGTGAAGGAGGATATCCTGTAGACACAAGGGAGCCATTTATAGCAAATTCAGCGTGCAGCTCCGTAAGCTTAGAGCAGTGTTCATTTGGTGGATGTCTTTAACCCATTCTAGTCCTGCAAGTTTTTAAACTGGGTATTGAACTTAGAGATCACCTTAGTTCAACACCCTCATTTTACAGAAGGAACTGAGGTCCTGAAGATTTCAAAGTCTTGTTTGAGTCACAGATCTTTAAGTAATAAAGCCAGGACCAATGGCTAAATACCCGTACTCCCAATGTGATGTACTTTTCACTGGAGGAATGGGCTGGAATAATCAGGTTGTCTACACTAAAAGGATCTGAGGGGAGGAGGGTCTCATTGGACAGGGAGGGGGCCAGGCTGTATCTTTTGGGATTTTTTTTCCATTATAATTTATGGTAGACACAATGCTCACTGTTGTCTTGTTTTTGTTTTTGCTTTTACTAACTTGAGCAAGATTCCAACTGCTTTTTGGGGGTAAATGCCCTAGTTAGATGAAATGAATGTATGACAGTGAATGATGGGCAAAGTTCAATGGAAAGAGTAGCATAACAGAGATACTGTGAATATAAGGGTTAGAAAGATTGGTTGTGTGGGAACATGGAAGATAACACTATTGAGAAACAATGAGAAGCTGTTCAGCTTTATCATCACCGGAAAGTGGAGTTTACAAAGCTAGGAGTAATTCTGTCCACTGGAGCTGGTATGGGTCAGTCTTTCATAAGAACATTGATTATAAACAATTTAGATGCTTGCCTTTTAAATGATAGAAAACTGGAAAATTTTCACAAAGTACAACAAAAATGATTCCCTTTCCAGAAAAGTTAAGGAAGCTAATGAAGTTGAGATTGTTATACTGTGAAAAATGAGGCTAAAACGTAACTTAGGGGAGGGGAGTCTCTAAAGAAATTAAATGCTGCCTCAAAGAACGAGGGGCTCTTACAAGGATGTGTCTATCTACACAGATTCAGGAGGAAATGGGATTAAATGGAAGCAAGAAAATTCAGTTAAGACTCTAAGAATGATTAAATATTGAAAACAAGATACCAGGGAACATTGTAGAATCCCTAGTGCCAGAGATCATTGAAAATGAAATTGCAGATAATTGAACTTGAGTTTAGGTATCCAACTGTCTGAGCAAAGGGTGAGCCCAATGACCTCTTGAGACCTTGTCAAAGTCTTTGATTCAACAACCAAGCTTTCTGGTAAATGCTATGCTACCAGCCCTGAAAAGAAGGTACTTAAACTAATTGTACCTGTTCCCTCCTCTCCAGATTCTTAAATGGCTTTCTATTCTTTCTGTTGATTTCTTATATTTATGAAAACAAATTCAACTATAATATTCACCTAGATTTCCTGGCTCATGAGCAACATTTAGATGGAAATTAAGACTCACTAGGGATTTGGGACTTTAGGTGGTAGCTTTATTGACTTGTTTCTGCAGGCGGGATTTCTTACCTATTTTTAAAACTCACCTGAGCTTTGTAAAAAACTTCCCCAACTTGTTCGGAGTTGATTTTTTATTGCTGTCGTTGTCAGTGAAATACCATGTCTGAATGGATTTTTTTTAAAATGTTCGTGGATACAATAATCAGAATGCAGAGCTGGAAACAGCCCCCCACATCTTAGCTACCCCACTACTACTGCTCTTTAAAATATCTAGTTTCATTTGGAAAATATTAATCTGTTCTGTCTAAATCTCCAGTACTGATTGATCTGTGTTGCTGGCCAGGCCTAGATTTGTATGAGTTTTAATTTTTTATATTATCACTTTTGGGGCCAATAGTTTCATTAATCGTGATTACTTCAATTAGACACTTTTTCATTCTTTAACACAACATCCTTGATTTTGAGTTTCATTTACTCTTGGACAGTTTTCAAAGCCCTGGCTTTTTTGAAAAAAGTTTTGTGAAGAAAAGGCAAGGGATTTACGCTGAGACCTACTTGAATGAGTGAACATCTTTCCCTGTGGTTTCACCTTCCAGGTTTCCAGATTAAGTCCTTCACGTCACTGCGCTTCCTGTCGGAACCTTCTGATGCCGTCACCATGCGGGGAGGCAGTGTCCTCCTGAACTGCTCTGCAGAGTCCGACCGAGGAGTCCCAGTTATCAAGTGGAAGAAGGATGGCATCCACCTCGCCTTGGGAATGGATGAAAGGAAGCAGCAACTTCCCAATGGGTCTCTGTTGATACAGAACATACTTCACTCCAGGCACCACAAGCCAGATGAGGGACTTTACCAATGTGAGGCATCTTTAGGAGATTCTGGGTCAATTATTAGCCGGACAGCAAAAGTTGCAGTGGCAGGTAAGTGGATTTTTTCTTCTCCTCTTTCTTCTCTGTCTCTTCTTTTGACTCCTTTTTTTTTTTTTGAGATAAGAAACTAAAATTTGCAGAAACAAAGTATATATTTTAAGAAAAAAGAAAAACGTAAAAACATGTTTGTTTATTTCCTCATGGTCTTGATTTGATTTTTTCTCTAAATTAGCTTGGAAAACAGTAAAAGGATCTCAACAACTAACATAACATTGTTTTGGAAAATCTCATAATGTTATGTTAGCTGTTGAGATCCTTTTCCAGTTTGTTTTGGAAAATCTCATAAAGTTTGGTTCAAGTTAATCCACTACTTTCGTTTAAGGGAGGAGTTTTCATTAATAGAAAAATATTAGAAAAATAATTTCCTAATTAATTTCATTTTACAGCCCTTAATGAAAATTCGCAGCATATGTTTGGTGTTTTGTTTGTTTGTTTGTTTCCTTTTTACTTTTAGAGCAGTGAATTTTATTTTAATTGTAATGGCTTATCTTACAACATATACATCTAAATGAAAAATAAAAATTTTCTTAGTGCTCTCAAATATCTTTATGCTTGGTAATGTGTTGACTCAATAACTGAATAATAGGATGAAAACTGTTTACTTTTCATCTGGATCTTTTGAAGCCTGAAAGAAGCAGTATGAATGTTCTGGAATCCATGAATATTGCTCTTTTTTGCCCCAATTATTTTGGTTAGAGGGCGGCTTATAATTATTTCTTTGGAACTATTAGACTTATAGGGAGAAGAATCAACTTTTTACTCATTTCTATAATGATTCAGCTTAAATTTGGACTTTGATGTTTGTTTTGTTTAAATTTTGATACTGGTTACAAAACAAGGCAGATGAATCCAACCTGAAACAAATGTAGGTCTTCAAATAGGTAAACAGGTTTGAAGAGCTCCTTTCAACTTAATCTTTAGTTCTATTCATTTGAACAAATAGACCATAATTTAGTCATTTTTATGGGTTTCCTTTCCCAGTCTGTATCCAGGAGGACAGATAAGAATGAGGACTCATTTTCAACAATAATATACATAACATAGGACAGTCAGGATAAACCGCCACTCCCCCATGGACTCTTCTAATGAATACAATAGAGCTGAAATCTGAAAATGCTGATTTTGTCAAGTGATGGTATAAAAACATTAGCTCTGATAGATAAGCAAAGAGTCCATACCCAGCTTCATGCCACTCTTTAATGGCTTCTTTTCCCCACTAAGGACTCTCTTTCAAATTCAGGTAAACCAGATTATCCCTGAGCAGAGATGTCCTGGTGGGCAGGGTCTTCACCTGGTGATACAGTGGTCAACCATCTTGGTTTAACCTGAACTGAGCTGAACTGACTTTTGCACTTGAAAGTAGTGTGTCCTGAGAACCCTTCAGACCAGGTAAAACTAGAACGTTTGGTTAACCTACCTAGTGGTACCCTCCACCTGCTTTAGCAATGCCACACTGAAGCATGGATGCAGAGCATCCCTTTTACTCAGGAGATCCATGAGGTGGCATCCTGATCATGAAAACCAAGGCTGTCAGCCGCCTGGATCTGTGAGTGAGGAGGGTCTGAAGTTTAGCTGATGAACTAGAGTTGGGAGAGGGCTAAAGGTCTGTGCTCATCACGGCTGATTAAAAAGAACAAGAGGAGTGAGCGCTGAGGATTAAGGTAAAACCTGCTTTCCTGGAGTGCCCCATGTAAAGCAGAAAGGGTACCATTTGATTTTCGCTCTGTTGAGAATTTCTGGACTCTTGGATCTCATCTGTCAGTTGCCCACAATACAAGGTAGCTCTTCCGATTTGAATGCATTGGGCTGGCGTTTTGATGCTCCATTCCAAAAGGCACACACGTACGCACTATTAGTGAAACATCCTGATAAATTGTGGTTTCAGTTTCCTCTCATCCAGATTCTCTTTAACATGTTCTGTTTCAATAGGGAGATGAGGAGCCATCCTTTCCATGTGAGATATTAAAATAAAGTGGCTTCGACTTTTGACTTTCGTATTCTGTGCAAGGATGGTCTGGCAGATTCAGTCACTGAGTTACAATCTAATATTAGATTGTATCATTTCAAGGCAATAAGGCTGTTCGCCGCGTTTTAAACACTTCCCGGTGCTGTTTGGCAACACAGCATACATCAATGTTATGTCTGCTGAGGTTAAGATTGCCAAACTGCTGGAATGCACAGGGGCATATGTCTTCCCTGTAATAAAGACCATGGGCCTGATTTAATCTCATTTTTAAAGCATTAGCAGTCAATAAACCAGTCACTACTAAAAGGTAACAGGCAGCTTTGCTTTGAATGAAAAAAAAAGAAGCTGTTCTGTACCCTCAGGTGCTGTGTAGAGCCCTTTTAATACAATGCTTCTCTTCCGTTTTTGTTTTCTCAAAGTGTCTTTTGATAAAAAGAAATGCGGCAAATGAAATGTGTCTTTAATCAACTCATTTTATGCAGTGATCTTGTGATGCACCATTCTTTCTATTTTCTGGGAACTTGTCAAGAGCTCTTTGAACCCTGTGTGCACAGTTAGCTGGAGAGGGAGGGAGACTAGGAGAGAGAAATGAAGGGCCACCAGCCCATTCAACATCTCGTTCAACGTCTCAGTGTAACCGGCTGTCGGTTTTTCTGGGAATTGTGAGTTCTGTCAGTAAAGACTGCCTGGGCCATTAAATCTCTATTTGAAAGCAGCTTGGCTTGTGCTGGTTGAATTGTACTTGTATCCCATTAGTGCTAATCAAAAATGGTGCGATTTTTCTCTGCCGTGTATACCTTTGCTTAGGACCTCAAGGTTGAGGACAGAGCCCGGCCGGGGCTTCTGTCCGGCTTGTTTTCATAGCTTCTCCTACCGCCCTCTCTGCTCCGTCCCTAGAAGAGCATCCAGTGTATTTGGTAGTTTTTCAGGTAGGGATTTGTTTTATCAATGAAGATGTGGGGCTTTATGCCAAGAGTTTCCAGCCGGCGTCATCTTCTTCCTTCTCTTTTTCCTCTACTCCTTCATTATTGAACTTGATGCAATTAGTTTAATTTATCTATGTGTGTCCCTCCTCTTGATGGACAGAGTTGGACTAATTTAATTTATATTTCAATAATCTGCAAATAACTCTTAAAATTAGAAGATGCACTGTGCTGGAATATCCCATATGCTACTTGAAAAAAAAATCATGTATCAATTCCTTATTTCTTCCATAACCCATAACAGCAAGATGAGCTTGCATCTGGCCAAGCACATCTTTCCTACCCCAGATGTCACCAGCTATCTGAGCCTGTCCGTGTTCTTCTGTAAAACAGGCATAATGATAACCTACCTTCTAAGGCTATGGTGGCTTTCAAATGACATCTAGGATCTAAAGCCACAGTGCAGAGTACATACTTACTCAGTAGCAGCAGCAGTATAAATAGGCTTAATAATGGTTATTATTGTGTTATTATAATTATTACTATTAGGAAATGACAGTGTTCAGTATTCCCATGTGATGGTGCAGGACATTTTCAGGGGGGAGGGGAGAAGTGTAGGCTGCAAATCCTGAGCCATAAATATTGTCGTCTTGGATCAGATAACTGCCTTTGCAATCCATGAGTACAAACTGGCAAGCCTGAATTGCATTTTCAAAAGTTGAATCTATGCATATTTTTGACAAGAAGTGACAAAATTGGTTTGACTACAAAATTCATTTTTCACAAGTTGATCTACTGTCATGTCAATGGAGCTAATATAATTTGTACTGGCCAGACTAGGAGTTCTAGATCGAGCAATAGCTGCTGTCATTTCAGAAAAAGATGCTGAAAAGTCTTCTCAACCAAGCCTCTTGATTGCCCTTCCAACCAAAAAAGATTCACCTAAGCCAGGTTCACAGGAGTTAGTGGATCTAGACTGGGAGTTTAACGTAACCCCTTCTCCTCCAAGAAAATGATGATGATGATGATGATGATAGTAGTAATAATAATAATAATAATAATAATGCCAATGTGTAAGAAAACCAGATCACTAAAGAGCTTCTCTGAATAATCATGAAAAAGTCATCTTACTCATTTTCTTTGATAACATCCCACTGCTCCCCTCCATCAACACACTCACCTACCCACACAACTACTCGACCATCCCCAACTACTTCCTCTGCAGGGCTCTGAGAAGCAGGTGCTTCCTCTGCTTATATTCACACTCTCGGGGCTGCGAGGGGACCAGTCTCTCCTCCCTCACATGAAGGACCCTGACTGCGGGATGCATTTTAGAGCATTTGTGTCCAGCTAGCTCCTTTTTTGTCAATTTTTAAACCTTTCTATCTTGAATATGGAAACGATTAACTGGCTTTTTTTTAAAATAATACTTTGTTCTTTGTACAGTGTATTCATATGCATTATTGTTGCTGAAAGATTGGCCCCTGTCCCTGATGAGCCAAATTGAAACTCAGAGACAGGGTCTTAGAGCTTAGAAGAAAGGAGACAGCTTTATTGCTTTGCGGGACAAAGGGGACTCACAGCAGGCTGGTGCCTTCAAAACTGTGAGCCACCTTGGGGTTGGGGCAGGGGGATTATACAGCCACAGCTCAAACAGTAAAGCATCGGTAACAAGCAACAGAATGATTTTCTTCTCATCAGACTCAGAGTGGCGTCACGGTGTCTCCAGGTGACCAAGTCTGTAGAGGCTGGTGGTTGTCACTGTTTGCATCTCTTCATCTTATAAGTGCCCAAGGCGTGGTCTTCTTGGTAATTCAGGCTACTTTGTAAGGTTACAGTCCCAGGACCTTCTCCCGGGAGAACAACTCAGAGACCAAGCATGATTATTACTTTCGATTACTGGAATAAAGCAGAAACAGTAAAATTAATAGCTTTAGTCTTAACAGTGGGCCTGGAAGCTGTAAGTAGCAACTGGTCATTCAGGTTAGTTGACTGTTTCAAGGGCAAGCATAAGAATTAGCAATCTGTTAGCCTAAGTGCGGCCATTTTATTAATTCTCCTTCATTATCTCATAAAGTTCAGAAAAGCTTTGTGATCTAGAT